GTGGAGGGCAGTGTCACTGGCCCTCATATGTGGGATCCGAACCGGGGCCCTCTGGTGTCCCAAGCCAGTTCTTAACCATCACGCCACTCGGCCGGCCCGGCAGAGCTTTATTTCTAAAGAAAACACCCCTGAGGCATGTGGGTGACTCCTCAGTTAAGTGACTCAGAGGGCAGAGCCGGCAGGTGTTTGGGGAAGTGACTGCTGTGGGCGCCACGTCACTGGCTCCTTGTGTGTCTACAGGACCAGAGGAGTAAGGGCAGCAAGAACCACCCGGCAACGATGTCAGTAGAGCTGGAGACCTCAGAGGGGGTGGACGAGTCGGAGAAAAAGAGCTCCAGGGCTCCAGCAGGAGAAAACCACACCAGGTGAGTGATGGCCGTGGGCCTGCCATGCCCAGCACACTTGGCTGTATATGTGCTGGAGGCACTGGGGTGCAGTCAGGAGCTGTGCTGCTGTGGCTCCCAGAACACCTGGTGGGACAGCAGGGACATCAGACAGCACTGTAGGCTGCTCAGGACAGGCACCGCTAGGAGTGCCGAGTAGCAGAATTTAACAGTGTTCCTGGTCCTTTTGTCTTCTTAAAACCATAAGTGCTTGATCATCTGGGGCAAGAAAGGGTAATCAGAGGCAAAGCTGGCACCTTTTCTGGTGTCTTCCACCCCGTAGAATGTGGGAGCAACTCCAACTCCAGGGGTTTTTCTTACTGGGCAGGGCCAGTTCACTCTAAGCCTCAAATTATTGGGGCCTGTTCTTCATTGTTCTTATCCTCTCGTTATAGCCTTGTCATTGGCAAAGTTCTTTTTTATATCTTGAAATAATTGCTAATATTAAATGATTCTCAGCACATGGGTGATACGAGCTAATCTCCTAAAGAAGCCAGCAGAGGCTGGGCTGTGACAGGCCAAGTTTTTCTCACTCTAGTGGATGTATTGTGTGGACACACATGAGCCCATGCCCAGTGTCACCATCTTTAGTGCCATGCATTCTCTGCCTTGTCTGGTATTGGCATCTTTTAGCACAACTTCATTCTGTGTAATTTTATTATGCAGCACACATGGCTTCAACCTCTTTGGCCTTTGTCTCATTCTCATCCTACATTTGGGCTAGGTAGGAGGAAGGTAGCAAGGCCACCCTAGGAGATCCAGCCAATCCTTCACAGCGGCATGGATTCCAGCAGCTGGCTCTTCCCTGGAGAAGTCAGCAAATACTATGCTGACTTCTGTGTCAGCACTGTGTGTCTCTTCGAACACTAGGTGGCCACAGAAGCAAAGCCTCATTCATTTGGGTGGTTCAGAGAGATGGTACTATTGAGGAGTAGACCACAGTCATCCGGTGTGTTACCTAAGGCCTTGGAGGCAGACTTAACATCTGCCTGCTCTGTGTCTCCTGGCAAGACGCTGCATCCATGCTGGAGTTGAGTTTCTGAGCAGCCCCTGCCTCCAGCTCAGCAAGCAGACGCCCTGGAGCTGGGAAGGGCTAATTCACACACACACACATGCACACACACACACACACCCCATGTCTCCACAGAATGGCTGACCTCTCCGAGCTCCTGAAGGAAGGGACCAAGGAAGCACATGACCGGGCAGAAAACACCCAGTTTGTCAAGGACTTCTTGAAAGGCAACATCAGGAAGGAGCTGTTTAAGGTCTGTGCCTTGGTCACAGATGGGGTCGGGTTGGCGGCCTTAGTCCCAGGAGCTGCTCCAAGGGGGAAGCTAGGCTTTCCTTATGCTCCTCTCTTTTTTGACATCAGGCTGTGGTATTGGTGGCTTCAATGGAATAACATGGTGATGTAAAGGAAGCAAAAGTATCCACATTCTAAAAAATTCACCATGTTATTCTTTTAAGAAGCATAAGAGTTTCCTGGGTGTGTGAAATAATTTACTATATAAAAAGGGGCCTTTGGGATTTGGAAGGTGGGGTGCTGCTCGAGTCTTTGACTCTAGCTGCTCAGATGCGGTGGGTGGTAGGCTCAGGGGCTGCCAGCTAAGGCTCATAGCCCATGGTCTCCCCCCATTACCCTCAACAGCTGGCCACTACTGCACTTTACTTCACATACTCAGCCCTTGAGGAGGAGATGGACCGCAACAAGGACCACCCTGCCTTCGCCCCCTTGTACTTCCCCATGGAGCTGCACCGGAAGGAGGCGCTGATCAAGGACATGCTATATTTCTTTGGTGAGGACTGGGATAAGCAGGTGCAGTGTTCAGAGGCTACCCAGAAGTACGTGGAGCGGATCCACTATGTGGGCCAGAAAGAGCCGGAGCTGCTGGTGGCCCATGCCTACACCCGCTACATGGGGGACCTCTCTGGGGGCCAGGTATTAAAGAAGGTGGCCCAGCGGGCCCTGAAACTCCCCAGCACGGGGGAGGGGACCCAGTTCTATCTGTTTGAGAACGTGGACAACGCGCAACAGTTCAAGCAGTTCTACCGGGCCAGGATGAACGCCCTGGAGCTGAACCTGAAGACCAAAGAGAAGATTGTGGAGGAGGCCAACAAGGCCTTCGAGTACAACATGCAGGTACTGCTGGGGGCTAGGCGGGACGGGGCCTGACAGCACAAGGCAATCCAGAGCTGCTAGAACAGGCATTGGTGCATTAGGACAGATGACCTGCAGCCTACCTGAGAGAGAGTCAGGGGACCATGAGGGCATGAGCCCAGTGATGGCTCCGCCTTATTTGATAGCCTGTGTGTGGTGTTCTGGGAAGGGCAAGGCCCCAGCAGGAAGCAGGCTGGAGGAGAATGGAGCTGTCTCCCCTCTCATCACAGTATTCGGGTTTTGAGGAATGGAGTTCTTCCTTTTTAGCAAGGGTTGCTATGTAAACTCCTCCTTGGTAAGTTCAGAAGAGAAATAAGGAGAGCGAGGAGCATAACTCAGTTTACAAGTACCCTTTACATGGGGCCGAGGCTGGGGAGGCTGATTCTGTCCCAAGCCCAGGCCGGCCCTCAGCACCAGGAAAGCGGCCGTGATGGGTGTGAAGCCCCAGCCTGACCACAGGCCCATCAGCCCTCTAGTCTGACGTCAGTGGGCCTCCAGGGGCCACTCAGAATGGGTGACCCCTGCTGGGGCCTCATTGTCCCACATTCCTTTTTCTGTTGTTTTGCTAAAAATAACCAGTGGCTGGAAGTGAGTAATTACCAGTGCTCACGGAGTGTCTCAGCGCAGCGCTCTGGCTCTCATGTCTGTGCCCTGATAGTTTCAGTTGTGGGCTGTGTACGGTCAGTGCCCAGGGAAGACCCACTACAGTCAGTGGCCATGGGTGCTAGGCAGCACAGCACGGCCACACCTCCCAGAGCTCGTGCGAGGGAGAAGCGCCAGGTCAGTGTGGCCGCCCCTGCCTGGACCTGCTGCTTTGCTGGTTTGTACTCTGAAGCAAGCCTCACCTGCTCCAGCTCCCTCTGCACAGGGGAGGAGAGAGGCTTTTCTTTTTTTTTT